TACTTCAGCAAAAATAGCTCCCTTTTAGCCATTTTATGTATGAAATTTCTCTGTAAGATTTCATTGTGAAATCTGAAAAAAAAAAAAAAAAAAAAAACTCACAAACTTTTGAAAGATATTGATTTTTGGCCAGTTTCTAGTGGGACCTCTCCAAAGTAGAAAGACAAATTGGCCACAGAAGTAGAAGTAGTGCTCAGAATTGCCATTTCAAGATGACTGTGTGGTTGTTTCTATGTCCTGCTTGTAAGTACCAATGTGTGTCAGTTATGGTGGTTGTTGAGCACTAATAGCCATACTTCATGACTCCAGGATCTTGTTAACTTCTATAGTGATGGTGTTGGTTGTGTGCATGGAGTTGGCTCCAACTCATAGCCACCCTGTTTAGTGTTTCTAAGGCTATAAATATTTACAGGAGCAGAAAGCCTTATCTTTATTGTCTGGAGTCACTGGTGAATTTGAACTGCTGACCTTGTGGTTAGCATTCAATCAATGCCTAGCCCACGACTCCACCAGGACTCTGTTTGTTAACTTCTATAAGAGAATCAAATTTATGTAGACCAACAAGCAACACAGTGAAATGTAATACAAGTTCAGAGTAGGGCTGCAATAGTAAGAGAACACTTCACTGAATTCTGAGTCATGGAATCATAGATACTTTGATACAGAGAGAATCTTAATGTAATCCATATAATTGAACCCCATGACTCTATAGACATTGAAATTGAGGATGTCAGGCAACATAATCCTGTATCCTGAGAACTATTACACTGAGCTAATAGTTAATTTGACAACACTAGATGCTGATATCATGCCCAGTGACCTTAATACTAAAAGATCTGATTGGGTGGTGATGAGGAATAATTTTTGAGATAGGGGAATAAGAGACGATTCTAACTATGCACAGTGTGAAGATAAGAAAGAAGTCATACTGCCTGGTGGTTTACTCATGGCATTTTAGTGTTAATAGAGACATGAGATACTATCATAATATTAGTAAGGTTCAGTCAGAGTCAGATGGTTGCAAAATGGTCAACCACTGCCGATTATAGAGCTGGATGGTGATGTGGTCAATGTGAGTTCAGGTACCTTGCAGAGGTAGAGGTACATTGAAGGCAAAAAATCAGGAACACAAGCATAGTTAAAATTGTGATTAAGAAATCTGAGTTCTATTTTAAAGAAACAATTTATCATGACTTGTTGACAAATCAAACATAGAATCAGAACAAATGGGAGAAATCGTAGGTCGATTTTCAGATTTTGAACCTTATTAACTAGAGGCACATAATGACAACAAAAGAAATGAAATGAGAAGGCTAAGTGGGCTGAGGAGGGAGAGGAAATTAATTTGACTTTAGGTATATCTAGGTTGAGGAGGCATTAGACCAAGATGATCACTGAAACTGTGGAAAGTGATTAATTGAAACTCCCTGGGATATGGAGAGAGAAGTACTTTGAACTCCTTCTTATGACATCCAGCATTAGGGAAACCCCAGAAGCAGGGAGAGTCTGCAGGAGGCCTGAGAAAGAGAGATTAGAGAAGTGTGAAGAAAATCCATGTTAACTATTTTGACGATGCAGCTGCCAAACAACAAAGGGATGGATGAGGTCTTTGGATTTAACTCCACAAGAGTTGATATTGGTCTTGGAAAGAATAGATTCTGTGTGGGTAAATGTGTAGGTGACTGAAGAAAGTTTAGGGTGGATATGGTGTGCAAAAGAACATGAAGAGAGCTCAGAGCTATTTGATGGTGATACTTGGTCCAAGACTAGTGAGTTGATGAGGTCTGAGACAGCCAGGGGAGATGTCTAGGAAGTGTGAAGAGGAAAGAATGAGGGGTATAGGCCAAAGACCAGTGAACATTCATTTTAGAATAGAAAAGAGCTGGGAGTCTGGCCCTCTGGGAAGGATGCAGGAGGCTCAGCACCCAGACCCCAAGCCCTCTGATGAACCAGAAACCAGCTATTCAATTCTACTTAGTCCATCGCTATCTAGCCAGAGTCGAGGCAGGGGATGCCTGATATAGGAGTCTTTATAAATTAAACACTGGAATATTTGACTTTCCCAGACAGAAAATTCTAGTGCCTCAGAGTACCAACTGGAGTGGTCAAGCACTAAATATCTGCCCTTAAATACAGCCATTGTTGTATGTGTTTGGCTTTTTGAGATGCCACTTATCCAGAAAGGGAGCCATCACCCTGTCTTTCCAGCTACAGATAGGGCCCTCCACTTGACCTGCCCAAGCCAGTCCTTAACCTCAGCTACTAGGATACCCAAATTTCCACTGGCATAACTGAAGGATCCCTGATAGTTTGGTTGGACAGAAGGGAGCACAGTATCAAGTCGCCTTGCTCCGAAGCCATGCTATTTGTCAGAGTATCTAAACTAAGGAATATCTAGGTCCGTGCTACTCAGATATAGTCCAGAAACCAGCAGAATTAGCATCATTCAATTGTATGTTCAAAATATAAAGTCTAAATTCCTACCCCAGTCCTTTAAAACAACAACAACAAAAACCATTGCCATGGATTCAATTCGCTGTATTTGTAATTGACTAGACCTGCTTCATAGGGCTTTCTTGGCTCTAATCTTTATGGAAGCAGACCATTGGGTGTTTCTTCCATAGTGCCACTGTTGTTGTTATTAAATACTGTCAAGTCAGTTCTGACCCATAGTGACCCTGTATAGGGTTTCTGAGGAGCAGCTGGTGGGCTTGAACCATCAACCTTGCAGTTCAAATGGCTTTGCAGTCTGATGCATCAACCCACAGCGCCACACCAGTGGGTTCAAATGCCAACCTTTAGGTTGGTAGATGAGTGCAAACAGTGCTATCCAGGAACTTTACCCCAGACATAGGGAATCCGACTCTGTATTTTAACAAGATCCCAAGTGATCCATATATGTCTCATAGAGTGAGGAGAATTGAGCTAGCACACTAGTTCTCAAGTCAGAGTGATCATTAGAACCACAGCAAGCCCTGCAGAATCTCTAGCTCAAGAAAGAATTTATCAGAACTTTTCTGGATGACTTAGGTGAGCAAGCATATTTGGGAGCCAATAACTTAAAAAAAATTAAAATTTTCTTTATTCAATGAAAGAAATAACATGTTTATTATAGGATCACTTTAAATAGATACAATAAGATAAAAATCCTTGGTAATCCTGTCAACCATGGTTAACTTCTGTTCCAATATTTTGCAAAACCCGCAGCACATTCTGTGTATGTACATCTCTATAGGTGTGTGGATTTAACTAGAATAATGATATGCATATTATTTATAACCTATTTTTTGCACTTCATGTATTTAGAAAAATTCCATGTCATAAAATGTTCTTTTACAATATCATTTTGTATACATATTTCCTTATTTATTGAACTTGAATTAATTTTTAAATCAGTTTTCTATTATTAGACAGTTATATTATTAGGAGTCCTGGTGTGGTACTGAGTGTTAATGTGCAAGGTCAGTTTGAATTGCAAGGTTGGCAGGTCAAGCTCACCAGGCACTCCTCAGCAACCCTACACAGGGTCACTAAGGGTTGGAACCGACTTGAGGGTACTCAATAATAACAACAACCATTATTTTAAAACATGATACAGTGAGCATCTTTTAAGATAAATATTTGGGCGATTCATTATTTTTCCCTAGAATAAGGGCAATAAATGAAATTGCTGGGTCATAGAATTGAAGATGTTTGATTCACATGAACAAGATCCAAACAGAAATGTGTGAAATTGTAATCCTATCAGCACCTTGTTATCCTTCATTATACCCATCTCTTAAACTCCCATCACATGGCCCAAGGAGAGAAAATGACTTGTCCAAGGTGACTGAGTAGTAGAGCCAGTACTAAAAGCCACTTCAACTATAGCTATATTTATTCTAACGCCCAGAACAGAGTTCAGTGACTCTCAGGGGCCAAAAGCCTGCCCTCAGCATCAACCTGTTCTTCCTCACTTGTCTCCCAAGATAGCCCTCATTTTGCTCTATCCCTCTCTGAGCCCTCCTACTTTCCCTCCCACTTTCCTTCTTTCTCTCCCACCTCTTATTTGTTCTGCCTTATATATCTATTGCTTCTTGTTTTTCCTCTTGCTCAGTGAGAATCAGATCTATTTGGTAAGTTATTCTTGCATTTTACTTTTCTGAGCTATTTTTCAACTCTTTTCATCCCCTTGTTCTGGATTGAATGGCTCTGGATTTTATCTGTGTTAAATTCTAGATTGATTTTGCTAAAGTGTGATCACTTTAGGGAAGAACTCTAGGACAGAGGGTCCAATGGGAAGGGGCAGAGTCATGTAAAGCTTGGATGGCAGTCTTGAGGCTTACATCAGCACACCATCTTCAGTTTAGATTGCTCATTTTCAAAAATTCAAGTCCCTAGCTCTCATGGCTGTCTCATTTTACATCTGAGACAGAAGGAGGAACTCTGGATAGTCTATCTTTAACAATCTTGAAAAAGAGATTCTAGTCCCAAGAAATCACTAGCCCTCCAGTGAGGCCTGCCCAGGCCAGCTAGAAACTGGAGATTCCTCCTGGTCAGACTGCTTGTCCCTCAGCTGGGCTCTGAATACCTAACCCTCTGTTGGGAGGTAGGCAGGAGTATGACAGCCCTAGAGGCAGGTTGGGAAGAAGAGACTGGGTTGGTGCTGGGGCTCATCCTCAAATTGTGAGGCTGGAGTATACCCCACCCCATTCGCCTCCTTGGGAAGTGCTACTGGCTCAGCTACTTGGAGGAACCTGTTCTCTAGTTTCCCAGAGCTGGCATCAGGGCACATCATCACCGGGCCAGTTCAACTTGTTCTTGATGACACCAGTGAGAGACAAGCAGAGCTACCTGGAGCTCCTGGGTGAGAGGAGATCATGGTGGATTTTGGCAGACATTATGTAGACAAGTGACCTAATGGAACTTTTCACCTGTGACTGGGTGATCTTGGAGCCTTTTTCTCTGACAGGTCTTCTTTCCTCCCCACTCAGGAAGGACTCAACACTCTGATCACAGAGATGTGCTCTCTTCCCATGGCAAGATACTACATGTAAGTCTTCCTGATATTCTTCCCTTTCCTAATCAGGTAGTATGGGAGTCACATGGGGAGAGAGAAGTCTGAGTCAGATGGATGAGGTTCTGTCTCACCTTAGAAACCTCAGGTCCCCCATAATTAAGTGTAATCATCATCACAAGACAATAGCTCTCCTTCCTGAGTGCTTGCCAGATGCCAGCCAGTCTACCTGTTTCAGTGTTGTTGTTGTGAAGTGCCGTCAAGTCTATTCTGACCCACATACAGGGTTTCCAACCCTACATTGGGACCCTGTATAGGGTTTCCAAGGAGCAGCTGGTGAGCTTGAACCACCGACCTTGAAGTTCAAACAACTTTGCAGTCTGACACATTAGCCCACAGTGCCACACCTAAGAAATCTACAGGGGGATCTTCCCCACATGTTGTTCATATCTTGAAGCTGAGGCTTTAAGACTGGGTTAAAACAATCCCTTGATACCATAAGGCAAAGCTAGGGCTCAGATTTCACACTTGATGAATCTTGATGACCGTACCTTTGTATGTTGGCATTTGTGACCTTTACGTCTAGTCTGGGCTTCCAATTCTTACTTTCACTGGACCTTATTCAAGATTTGTATGCTTATATTTTGCCCTGTTTTTGTCTGTGAGTTTGCTGTAAACTGCTTCAAGTCTTTTGAGAAATGAGATGAAACACAATAAAAATAAAACAGATTGGCTTCTTGGGGTACATTTCCTCAACTCCTACCTTTGGCCCAGCTGTGTTGAAGACATGGGGGACAGTCAGGGTCTCCAGTCTGAGTGAAAAGGCAGGGTATATATGCACAAAATACACAAATGACAAAACAGAAGTCAATGTTTGGGCACACATAGCTTGGGTTCTGATCACTAAGTAGAAGGTTGCCAGCACGTTCCAACCATGTTTCTGGCAGGTGAGTTCCTGATGTCAAGGTTTGAGAGAGGATGCCAGCTGGCAAGCCCAGGATCTTTTAAGATCTTTATTTTTATTATAAAGTACACTTGCTTTAAGCACATACAGTCCTTAGCTAAGGGTATTATAATTAGCTATTACTGGGAGAGGAAAATCTCCTGGGGGCAGTGTGTTTGCTCAGAGGTTCTACCTTTGCAGGTAATGAGGGTTCCCTAAGCCCTAAGAGTGACTGAGAGCATCTTTGAAACCAGCCAGACAATTGAGCTAGGAACCTTTGTGACTTTGATGTCCCACACGCTCACCATGGTTTCTCCCTGCTGCCTCCTCCGCCTCTCCAGCACGTATTTACAACCTGAGGCTGATCATTACAACCATAACCAACCACAATGACTATAATCAGACTATGATCCAGCTTTCTGCTGACCTCCTGTATTTGGCAACAGTAATATAGAGCCTTCCTCAGAGCACACCTTACGTAGGTCACACACAACTTAAGCACACCTATGTACAGCACACACAACAGTAACCATACTGGCATACTTCATGTAACGGGGGATTTTTTTGTTGTTGTTGTTCTCTGATTTGTAGATTTTCTCTCATAAAAAGTATTAAAATTACCTGAAAAACAAATTGTATTTCACTAGTTGGGTACAATAAAATAATCCCTTTATTAGAGAAAATAAAAACCAAACAAGTTGCCATCAAGTTGGCCCCTGTTCATGGTGAACTCATGTGTGCAGAGCAGAACTGCTTCATAGGATTTTCAAGGCTGGAACCTTCTGGAAATAGATCACCAGACCTGTTTTCCAAGGTGCCTCTGGGTGGGTTGGAACCCTCAGCCTTTTGGTTAGTAGCTGAGCGCTTCATCATTGGCATTACCAGGGACTACTATTAGAGAGAATCAACATCTATGAAAACTTGAGACAGGTCCAGAAAACATGAGATAAGACTCCCAGAAACACCTGAACATCATTGGGAAAGTACTCACGAAGGGGATGGGAAAACACTTGATTCAGTGGGAAAACTCTCTTTAGTGCCCATAAGAAGACATTGGCTTCCCTCACTCCTCTGAGGGCCTTCATGGTGCCCAAGTCCATGAAAGCAGGAAGGAAGCTCAGCCACTGAAAATCACAAGACCAGAGGCCTTCTCATGTTGAAGAGTGACCTGGTCTTAACCTGCTGTTGGGTGGAGGCATATTCCCATTTCTCATCTGAAATAGGGAGAAGAATCCCCGAGTGCTCAGTCTGGTAGTTCAGAGCACAGAGGTAGAAGGGTCTGGGGGCCAAAGGGTGGCTGAAGGGTGCAGGCCATCAGCACTGCCATCCTATTCCAGAATAAAGGATATGGATCAGAAAGCACTCTACATGAGGAATGACCAGCTTTTGGTGGGAGACCCCAGTGCAGACAACTGTTGTGCAGGTGAGCATCTGGGTCTCACCTGAGCCCCTGGGACTCACTTATCCTCCATCTCCCTAAAATGTCTCCCTCCTCCTCCCCAATCCCATACTGCCAGAGGGACATGGCTGCCTCCAGTGAGCATGAGAAAGAGGCAGCTGAGGGCTTCACCTAGTCAGGGAATCTCAACCTTGTCAGGAGTCCCAGGTCACCCTACCACCTTCATGTGGGGATCAGGACAGGGGTGCTAGGTCCAGTTCCTTCCTGCCTAAACCTTCTCTCAGCTCAAGCCTGAAATCTGGGACACCCGTATCTCCTGGATCTTCCATTTCTTTTCTCACAGAGAAGATATGCATACTTCCCAATAGAGCCCTGGATCGGACCAAGGTCCCTATCCTCTTGGGCATTCAGGGAGGAAGTCGCTGCTTGGCATGTGTGAAGACAGAAGAGGAGCCTTCCCTTGAGCTTGTGGTAAGAGATTCTTTCCCATTATGAGGGACCCTACAGGCTTGGCTCAAACCTCAGGATGTCTTGGTATCTCTGGGCCCATTTATGTATTTCTCGGCCAAGCTCACATATCCCCCTGCCTCTGCCCCCAGTACCAAGACACTTGCCCTCCATAAGCTGTAGAAGCCAATTTCCTTCACAAGATCTACTCTGCAAACCCCTCATTGGCCAATCCCTAAAGTCATCTCAATCTGTAGCCTTATCCTGCAGCTGAATGTCTTGCCTCCACAGGATGTGAACATTGAGGATCTGTACAAGGGCGGTGAACAGGCAACACCCTTCACATTCTTCCAGAGCAGCCGAGGCTCAGCCTTCAGGCTTGAGGCTGCTGCTTATCCTGGCTGGTTTCTCTGTGGTCCCACTGAGTCTCAGCAGCCTATACGGCTAGCCAAGGAGGATGATCCTTCAGCCCGCACTGAGTTCTACTTTGAACAAAGTCGGTAAGGAGGCAAGAGGCTGTGCTTCAGACTGGTATCTTCAAATCATGCTCACCCTGCTCTACTCCACGGAAGGCAGAACAATGGCTCCCAACGGTGTCCATGCCCCAGTCCCTCAAACCTGTAAATATGTGACCTTCCATGGCAAATAGGACTTGGCAGATGTGATTAAATTAAAGATCTTTTGATGGGAAGATTATCCTGGATTATCTGGGTGGGCCATGTAATCACAAATGTTTTATAAGAAAGAGGCGGGAGAGTCAGAGAGAGAATGAAAGATGCAGTAGGCTCTTAAGATGGAAGAAGGGGCCATGAACCAACAAATTAAAGTGGTTTCTAAAGCCTAGAAAACAGGAAGGGGATGGAGTATTTTCTAGAGCTTCCAGAAAAAACACACAGCCGTAATGATACTTTGATTTTAGCCCACTGAAAACCATTTTGGAGTTCTGACCTCCAGTGCTGTTAAGATCATAAATGTGTGCTGCTTTAAGCCACTAAATTTGTGCTAATCTGTAATAGAAGCAATGGGAAAACTAGGACAGGGCCTCAGTTTGTCCCTCTGTACAGTGTTTAATGCAAGGGGTCTGGGTAACTTGGTAAATTCTTCTTGGAAGGCTAGCCACAGCTTCTTCTGCAGTCTGTCTGCTCCAGAGTTTTCAGAAACAACTAAGAACCCCAGGAAGAACCCATCTCTCCTTCTTTATCTGTACACAATGCCTTGAGCTTAATACAATTTTAGTTTTAGACAAAGTCTTGTGAGTTTTCTATGGACTACTTTACAACAAAATGAGCATTCCACTGGTTGATCAGCACTATGAGATGTCTGTTGGTTTTGATGTGTGAGGAGCAAGGAGGAGCAGTGAGGGAGAAGACAATGATCATGTTCTGAATGTGTTGAGTTTGAGGTTCTAGTCTAAACTCTGAGTGCAGGTCACTTCCTAACAGCTGGAAACAAAGTGCTGAAACTCAACTGAGAGTTTGTGGTTGGAACTAACACACATCCCCAGAGTTCAAAGCTAATCCCACTACATGTCATGGAGAATCTGTGATCAAGATTTGTGCTAGAGGGACTTCCGGTTCGGGGTGCAGCCAGGGGAGCCAGGTAGGAAACACTACGGTGAGAAGGGAGGGGGATCTCACGAAGGAAGCATTCATATTAGCAAACCCACAGCTTCCGAACTATCATAGTATCTAAGACTTCAGTTTCCCAAACTCATATTTTCAGAAAAATCATGGTACTAAGGAAAATACGGCATCTTAAGACTTCTGAAGCGGGACCACTTCAGCGACTACCCCACCCTGGCAGACTTTTGAGGGTGGGGCTAAAGCCAGGCCATTCAGAAAGCAGTGTTTCCAGCAAAAACAAACAAACAAAATAAACAATAAAAAAGTCACAGGGAACTACACATCCCTCCCTGTACAAGCTTGAGATCTCAGCTCGGACACCAGGCAGGACAGTTTACCCACGGCACAGAGATAGTGGCACAGAGAGGGTGACTTCTGACGTCACCCGCCCGCCGGCTCAAATCTGAAGCCCTTGGAACTTCCAGCTATTGTTCTAGCAAGTCCTGGCTGCTCCTGCCAGACTCTTCTACACGGATGGTGTAAAAGAGAAAAGTTGACCAAAGCCACATCTCTGCTCCAAAGTGGTGATTTTTGCCTATGTGTTTATATTACTTCTGCTTTGGGTCCTTTTGATCACACATCTTTCCTGGAGGTGGGAGCTTTTCCTCCCTACGTCACCTGAGAAGAGACAGCAATCGTGGCCATATAGCCAAGCTATAAGCATACACCATAAAATTTCACCACTAAGACAAGACCTAACAACACCTGCTATAAGGGAAGCCTATCTCCTGATCATATTAATAATAATAATAATAATAAAATAGCCATGACCAATAAGAACTAACATTATCAAAACATGTCCAAAACCAGAAAAGAACAGCTGATGCTAATGAGCTAGAGACAGACAAAGGCTTTATAGAGGAGGAAGAGCAGGTTCTGGATATGCCTGAGAGGGAATTCAGAAGAATGATATGGAAACAAATTCAAATACCCCAAAAAGGGGTCGAGGAAAATAAAGAAGAAGTAAGGAAAGTACCTCGGAAACCCTGTACAGGGTCGCTATGGGTCAGAACCAACTCGACGGCACTTAACAACAACAACAACAAAGGAAAGCACCACAGGAACAATCAAATAGGACTGACACAGCATTGGAAACAATTCAAAACCTGCAAAAAGATGTCCAGGTGATCAATAATAAGATCAGAAATGGACAATAGGCTGAAAGGGGAAAGGAGCAGACTAGAAGAGATGGAAGCCAGAACTAGCGAACTAGAACACAAATCTCTCAATACTGCCAATATAGAAGATCAAGCAGCTAAAAGGATAAAACAATCTGAAGAGAGTCTAAGATTCATGCTGGATAACATGAAGAGGAATAATGTAAGAATTATTGGGATTCTGGAACAAGAAGAATCAGAGAAATCCACAGAGGAGATAGTTGAAGAGCTTCGGGAAGAAAATTTCCCTAACATCATGAAAGATGAGAAGATAAACATTCAAGAATCCCAATGTATCCCAGGTAGGATAGACCCCAACAGAAAATCTCCAAGACATATAATAATCAAGCTCTCCAAAATCAAAGACAAGGAAAGAATACTAAAAGTGGCCAGGGAGAAGAGAAATATAACTTATAAAGGCAAGCAAATTAGATTAAGCGCTGATTATTCAGAACAAACCATGCAGGCGAGAAGGCAATATACAAAGCCCTGCAAGAAAAAAACATCAACCAAGAATCGTCTATCCAGCAAAACTATCAATCAAATATGATGGTGCGATCAAAACATTCTAGGATAAATAGAATCTGAGAGATTTTATCAAAACCAACCCAGCACTTCAAAACATCCTAAAGGGAGTTCTGTGGAAAGAGAACCAACAAGAACAGACAACAAACAGAGACTGACAGGTATGACCACACCACCTGGAACACAGCCAACAGATAGCAGAGCCCAGAACAGAACAAGACTACAACAACAAACACAAAGGAGCAGAGAGATCAACTAAAGGCTAAAAATGTATCAGTGTCAAAGAAGGGACAAATGCAGCAACAGAAGCCCAGGTGGTGGGGATGCCAGGTAAATTACAGGTTACCATGTTGTTGTTGTTGTTGTTATGTGCCATCGAGTCGGGTCCGACCCATAGCGACCCTGTACAGGGTTTCCGAGGGTGTAAATCTTTACGGGAGTAGAAAGCCTCATCTTTCTCCCGCGGAGCGGCTGGTAGTTTCGAACCGCTGACCACCATGGAGTATCCTAAATACAGAGAAAAGTTAGTATACTACAAGGTAAACCCAAAGAAAGTTAACACTCTACAACATATAAAAAAGAATTCCCAAGCAGAACAAGCGAACACAGAAACTAGGAAGAAACCGGCAAGAAACTCAAAGAACACAAATCCAACACAAGAAGGAAAGCAGAACCAAAGAACGAACAGCACCGCCAAAAAAGAAACATAATGACAGCAATCAATTAATACCTACCGATAATTACACTGAATGTCAGTGGATTCAATGCACCAGTGAAGAGACAAAAGTGGCAGAATGGATAAGAAAACAAGATCCATTAATATGCTGCCTGCAAGAGACACACCTTACACACAAAGACAAAAACAGACTAAAAGTTAAAGGATGGAAAAAAAATTTACCAAGCCAACTGCAACAATAAACGAGCAGGAGTGAGAATACTAATCTCTGACAAAGTAGACTTCAAGATAAAAACCAGCATAAGAGACAAAGAAGAACACTATCTCATGATCAAAGGGTCAACTGAGAAAGACAACATAACCATAATAAACATATACGCTCCCAATGACAGAGCACCAAGATACATGAAGCAAACCTTAATGGAATTGAAGAAAGAAATAGATAAATCCACAATTATAGTGGGAGATTTCAACACACCACTCTCGAAAAGGGATAGAACAACCAGAAAGAAACTCGACAAAGCTACAGAGGAACTTAACAACACAACCAACCAACTTGACCTCATAGATGTATCCAGAGCATTCTAACCAACAACAGCACAATACACATTCTTCTCCAGTGCGCATGGAACATTTTCCAGAATTGACCATGTGTTAGGTCACAAAGCAAGCCTCCATAAATTCACAACCATCAAAATTCTACAGAGCATCTTCTTAGACCACAATGCTATAAAACTAGAAATCAACAATAACAAGGCCAAAACAATAACGTCAAATACATGGAAACTGAACAACACCCTGCTGAGAAGCAACTGGGTAAAAGAGGAAATTAAACATGAATTCACAAAGTTCCTAGAAACAAACGAGAATGAAAACACAACATACCAAAATCTCTGGGACATGGCGAAAGCAGTCCTGAGAGGACAATTTATTGCAATAAATGCAGACATCCAAAAAGAGGAAAGAGCCCAAATTAACATTAACACAGCATCTCCAACAATTAGAAGCAGACCAGCAGAGGGAACCTACAGTCACCAAAAGAA